GGGGGGGGGGGGGGGGGGGGGGGGGGGGGGGGGGGGGGGGGGGGGGGGGGGGGGGGGGTTCTTTGGATGGGGTTTTTGAGTTTTAATCTTGCTTGCTTATATGCTTGGAGGGTTATTATTTGGTGAGTTTTAGTTATATTCTTAATGGGTTTTGATTTTGGTTCTGCTCTCTGGCTTCCTGCTTGGGTTCATTGAAGATGTAGAGTGCAAGTGTTATATATATATATATACACACACACACACACACTATGGTGATTTTGCTATTTAATTTTATTGAATTTGTGTTAATGTATTTTTTTTTTTAATTTGTGAATGAGGGTATAAACTGAGATAAGTGAAACTGAGGGGAACTTGGTACTTAGTGTGACTTAGCTAACCATCGGGCTTAGTTGAGCTTGATTTTTATAGTTTGGAAATTTAAGCTATATGAAATTTGAGAGTAAATACTAAATTTTATTTATTTTCTCAAGTCATCATGTCAGCCGAATTGATGATGCCAGGGGTTCGGTGTAAAAAAGTTAGAACTAGATTGATAGAAAAATATATTGTAAATGGGCTCAAAAGGAGAATGTTGTACCCATTCGAGAGAAAGTGAATCTCTTGAGAGAAAACTAGCCCTTGGTTTCTTAAGGATTTAATTTTTCGAGTAATCCATGTTTTTCATAAATCTCTTTAATGCAAATGCAATCAGAGGCTTATAGAAGTACTTACCATAAAAAAGTTGCAACTAATGTTATAGCTTGGATGCTGTTGTGTACAAAGCTTGTATCTATGTTCTCTGCAATCTTTTGGTGTGTTCTGAGGGGTGTTTATCATACTGAATTATTGATGGGTGTTGTTAGGATTTCAGTTGGTTCTTTGAGATGCTCAACAAGGATTTTATTGAGCTTGGGTAGCTTGAGGTTGTAGAGAAATGAAATTTGTTAAATTGAATACAACTCAGGTGGAGTAAACTTGATTTACAAATGTAGTTTGGTGTTATATAATTTGGTGATTTAGAAATGATTATGTTTTTTCGTAGGGCATGCAATTGAGTACTTTAAGGTATCTATTCTTTCCAGACTAAAATGGGTGGTTCATAAAGTACAGAAGAGCATTATGGAATTGTTTAGGTTTTACCAATTGACTTTTAAAGTTAAGCAATAGTGATGGCTCATTTGGTCCAGTGACTTTCATGATATTTTAGAATGTGATTAATGTGGAGTAGTAGAACTTATCGATTCCAGGCATCAACACATTCTCAGGAAAGATTCTTTCAGTTAGTAAAACATTAAATAAAGACTTTTCAAGCAGTCAGATACATGGAGCTAAAAGTTCTGGTCATCAGTTATTTGTTAATTTTTTTATCAGTGATGTTATCTGAAGTGGTGTGGATATCTTGGCTCTTCTTGTCCATTGCCTATATTGCTTATCAACATAAATCAGAATTTTGGTTCTTTATGCTTCCCAGGGCCATTGGCTCATACATGTCTTATTCTTATTGTACTTGCATGTCAGTGTGCTCTTTCTTTCAACTTTGTTTTAGATCTCACATGTTCAGAGAAATAAATGCAGCTAGAAAACAGTTGCTTCATAGTTGCTGGGTTGTAGGTTCTAGTCCTGAGCTTGGTTACAAATATGGAGTATCATTTTTGCTTGGCTGCTGAGTGTGTAATCTTTTTGCTATATGGCTGTTATGGCTCCGAGGATTGGTTATTGTTACTTTTCCCCTGTTATCAGCAAAGGATTTCCATTTCTAGATTTGGCCATTTATACCTGTCTGGAAACATAAAAGATTTGACCATCTATTTCATTCTATACCATCCTGCAGTTTCCTGTTGGTCGTATCCATCGCCTTCTGAAATCAAGAGCAACAGCCCATGGAAGAGTGGGTGCAACTGCGGCTGTTTACTCTGCTGCTATCTTGGAGTACCTGACTGCTGAAGTGTTAGAGCTGGCAGGAAATGCAAGCAAGGATCTGAAGGTGAAACGTATAACACCTAGGCATTTGCAGTTAGCAATCCGGGGTGATGAGGAGCTAGACACCCTTATAAAAGGAACCATAGCTGGTGGTGGAGTGATCCCTCACATCCACAAGTCGCTTATCAACAAATCCTCCAAGGAATAATGCTATTTCGGTTCATTGTACTGAATCCATGGGATGTACTGCTGTGTTGTGTATACATTGGGTGATAATTAGCCCCCGGTCCATCTTCGATTGGATTATAGCTGGTTTCCTTTTGGTAGTAACCGAACAATGTAGGTTTTGTTTGTGACAGTTTGCAAGTTGTTAGACAATCCTCGAGGTCGAACAGAGAGTTGCTAGAATGTATTTCCGATTACTGTCCTGTTCGTTTTTACTCTAATTCATGTTCATGTTTTATCACGGTTTAAAATAGGTTAAACGAAAGAATGAGGATATGCCTGTTTTATTTCTCAGCTTCTCTGAGTTAAGAGCACTGCTAAGAGCTCTTGGTGTTTTGCTTGTTGAGAATTTTACAATAATGTTTCATCTATACCTGGGCATTAGGATGCACCCTTGGTGTTTGGAGTACAAATTGCAAGTTCCCATGTTTCTTCTAAAACGAGTATCATGAATCCACAAAAATTTGATCAATTATGCTTTCAATGCCTTGGTAATGGGCAACCATGTTTTCAAAAATTCATAGAATTCGAATTTCAAGCCATCATCAGAGCAAACATCGTTGTCCCAATGTTGTATGATCTGCTTTCAATTTATATGATAATTGGCAACCAGAACTGAACATTGTGATAAAAACAATCATGTCAGGGACGAGAAGGTGAATATAATGCCATAGTAGATTTCTGAAAACGGGAGCTAGAACAACACGAGCAATGCCAGAAAGGAAAAGCATCAACTGCAACAAATAGGATGAATGAATTGCTTTCTGCTCAACGGAGGATAACCTAGTTTCAAGTCACGATCAAACAACTTATACTAGTAAGTCAGAGTTCATAACTCTCTAATCACTCTCTAATAAATCTGCTGCAAAAGCAAAAACACATGAGAATGGCTTCATAACTCGATGATTGCTGTTACCATCACGGAAACACACCCCTGCCAACCAATGGAACTGTTGCATCTACTGTATGGCTGAAAACTTTGGAACATCAACTGGGAACTGGTGGATCTCATCCATCCATGGGTTTTTCTCATTGGCTGGGTTTATGGTCCGCAGAGCCTTCCAGACAGCACTGTTACACTTGAACCCAGACCCAAAAGCGATCTGCCATGTTCTGTCTCCCTTCTTTATCCTCCCTTTGGCTTCTGAATAAGCCAATTCATACCAAAGAGAGCTGCTTGAAGTGTTGCCAAATCGATAGAGTGTCATCCTGGAAGGTTCCATATGCCAATCTGAAAGCTGTAGGTTTTTTTCCAATTCATCCAGCACAGCTCTCCCCCCAGCATGAATGCAGAAATGCTCAAAAGCCAGTTTAAAATCCGGGATGTATGGCTTTAACTTCATCTTAAAGAGTTTCTTCCCCACTAACGTGGCAAAGAAGAGCA